TGGGCACTAGTTTGATCGTACATTTTAAATATCATATAAATATATACAATTTTTTATTAAGTGAAAAACTTGATGGTTGTATAGGGTGGGTGTCAAAGTGTCAAATTGTATAGTTTACCTCTGGTCTGAAAAATGTTCWGCACGCCACTGAGGATAAATACCATATACCTATGCGGTTTGTCTTTAGGTTTTGTACTCGGCTAAAAAAATTATATAATGCTATCAAACAGTTGGAAAATAAAGCATTTGTCACCTAAAATGGAAAAATAGAATGTAATTTAYTTCAATTTGACGGGCAAAGTTAAGTGTTTACTTTTTCCAAAGATGGGATGTTATTGTAAATTTGAAATCACAAACATTTTAAATTTCATCGGATTTACAGATCCATTGGATATCGGATTGGCTATTCACTTTTTGGCATTCGTGACTTAGTATTCATGTATAGATTCACCTTGTGGAATTAACTGGACATTAATAACGCATAATACGAAAAAATKTTGGCCTTTAATGAACGTTAGTGTTAAATTATTAAATTTTGGAATTACGTAAAAGTGTAAATCATTTCCTATAGAGTAACGTCGGCACGAAAACATGTATCGATATTCGATATGAATTCGAAAGCGGGKATTTCGATAATTTAGTTCAAAAGACGTATAAACAAAAGGMTTTCGATTTGAATTCAAATAAAAGTTKGAATTCCAGGAGTGAACTTGATTCATAAAACAGAACTCACACACACACAGGTACATAATATTATATACATCATGTGCGAAACGCGTTAACATTATCGTTTAACACAATATATATAAACATGTGTATCTCTTACTCGGAGGCTGCAACGGTGGAGGTCCTCTTGTTTATGTCGCACTGGTACGACCCTCTGCCGTTACGCATGTAAAACGAATGAGGGTTCCTAAAYGACGGCAGCCAGCCGAGTCGAGCAAGCGCGGCCAAATGCCTCTTGCCGTAGCTGCTCTGGCCGGTGCTGCCAAACGAATGATAAGAGGCTGGTGATCGGGACGACGTCGAAGCGAATCCTCTGGGCATCCAACCGCTGCGCGACAACGCACCTACACGCACACACATACACACGCACACACACACACGGTATCGAGAATCAGACACGGCGGTCGCACACGACAGTAAAAAAAAAAAAAAAAAAAAAAAATGTAAACGGTTGACTTTAAGCAACGTCTTGAAAGTCAATATTAAGATTATGATATAGATATTTCATTATTGTCATAATTATTTACGTAGGTGGTATATGCGGTTCAAAAATACGACACYACTCATATAATAGAATGCATATCATGTGAATATGGTGGAAAACACGACACAACAAAAACAAATCTCTACCACACGCACACATACATACACGACACAATACAATAGACGTTACGCAGKTAGGTTTAGGGTGTTTATGAAGAGGAAATACGAATATAATAAAGTATAAAACTATGTACAAATATAGGTACAAACAAAGACTACAGTCTACAATACACGTAAATCGTATTAYACTATCACATTAAAATTCAAACTACACATTATTTATTTTCCGATAACCATTGACCATATGGATCCGTGTARATGGTTATCGCAAAAATAATAAATAATAATAATAATGAACACAGCACTCAATCATTATAATATAATATGCTATATTGAACGTCACAATCATATTACATAAGATATAACAAATAAACATACTATATACCTACCTACTTACATATACAAGTAAAGAATAATATTATGTAATTCTTTAATACCTATATATTTTACTGCATTATTATTTTACTCTACGCGGTTATTGTGGCGAGTGTTGGTAACAATAGTATACAGTAGTAGTGATAAGGAAGTGATAATAAATTAGATTAATGACAATATAAATAGTATTATAACAGTTATTAGAGTTACTAGAGGAGGACT